CTAAATCCCAAAACCCTAAATCCCAATACGCATCTCCTCCAGCTTCCGAAGGCTCGATCCTCACCTCCCGTGACCGGAATCCGATAAAACCCTGAAGCCCCCGGAAACTTTCGAAAGCCCCGAACCCAAAAAAAGGCGATGTCCTCTTTTTCAGGGCCTTTTTGTTGGGGGCTCGGCGTTTAGGGTTTAGGGTGTTGTAGCACTGAAGCCCTGAAGAAGTCTGGGGCAAGGCGTTCTTCTTCACATCAGGGGCTCCAAACTTCTACCCTGACCCCAAACACCCTCCTTAGACGGACTCTAGGCGAACCCAAGAGCACGGAAGCCCTAGGCCTTATCCCCCGCTTCCCTGCACCCCTTATTAGTAGCCCTAAGCTCCTAAACTTCACAACCTGAAGACGTGAAGCTCGCCTGGATCTTCAAGCCCTCGAAAGCCTTTCAGCCCCGAAAGCCTGGGCCCTCTAAGAAGGCCTAGTCTATGAGAGGCCCAAGGCCCCAAAAAATCTTACAAACCCTGTGATAACGGCCTTACTTTCTTGAGGACTTCGAAGGCAAATCCCTAGAATCACCCTATCCAACTCCGGTAGGAACCCTTAAAGGGACCCGAACCTAATTGAAAAGGCCCATGTTGTCTTTAAGCCCCAAAGCCCCGGCTCCATCCATAAATCAAACCGCCGTGTATATACAGTGTATATGCTCGTTAGGGGATACGAAGCCCCAAAACCCTAAACCCCTAAACCCGAAACACCCTAAACCTTAAACCCCTAAACACCCTCAACCCTAAACCCGAAATCCTAACCCCTAAACCCTAAACCCCTAAACACCCCAACCCTGAACCCTAAACCCCAAAACCCTTTGTCTCTACACCCGAAATCCTAGCCCCTATATCCCTAAACCCGAACTCCTAACCCCTAAAGGCCCTAAACCCTGAAACCTAAACCCTAAACCCCTAACCTAAACCCGAAATCCCTAAACCCTATAATGCCTGAACTCGAACCCGAAGTCCCTATATCCCTAAACCCGAACTCCTAACCCCTAAAGGCCCTAAACCCTGAACCCTAACCCCTATATCCCTAACCCTGAACCCTAAACCCCAAACCCGATTTCCCAAAACCCTATAATCCCTAAACCTTAAACCCTAAAGCCGAAACCCCAAACCCCTAAAGGTCCTAATAACCCCTGTTCACGCTCACCTCTTCCAGATCTAGCTCCTCCGCTTCCTGTCGCAGTTCGGCCTCCCAGAGTTCAAGCTTTCAATAATAATAGTGACAGTGATAATGGTAGTAATGGTACTACTAATGATTGTCGAAATAATAATAATAATAATAATAGTAATAATAATAACAACAATATTAATATTAATATTCGTAGTAATAGTAATCGTAATCATAATAATCATGATAATCGGTTAGGGTTTAGGGCTTAGGGGTTTCGGATTTCAGGGCCTTGGGGTTTATGGGTTCGGACTTCGGACTTTAGGGCTTTGGACTTCGGGGTTCGGGCTATCGGATCTTCGAGTTTTGGCTTTCGGACTGAGGGTTTTTGGGGTAGTTTGGGGTTTAGGGTTTGGGGTTTAGGGTTTAGGGTTTTGAGGGTTTTGGGGTAGTTCGCACGGGGTTACTACAGAAGGTCTGCTTTCAGGCTTTGGGGTTTGGGGCTTTCCGAGGGTCCGAGAAACTTCCATCCGGTTCAGAAGCATACGTATACAGAGCGAAAAACATGAGACTCCCGACTTTTTGCTCAAAACGGTCTTGTACTTTGCAGCTCAATTTCTCTGCCCAGCTCCTGCGAGGACCTCTGAGGGCTCAGTCGATTCCAGCGGAGGATCACGGCCGACACGGCCACGAAAAGAACCACGACTGCACCCATGACCTGGTTTTCGAGCAGTGAGATGCCCAAGCCACGAATCTGAAACCCTAAACCCTGAACACCAAAAAACTTGTGAACTTGCATCCCTCAACCCTAAAACCTTTAAGATATGTGGGATCCTGATTATGACTCAAGCCTTTATGGGCTTGAGGTCAGGGCTTGCTTGATGCAACCACTACAAGACTCCCTGGTTCTTGGCAGGGAATGGGGGAATGATAGTCCCTTAAGGTCCCCTCTAGCAGTCCAAACAACCCATTCCCGCATTCCCTAATTACTAGGAACCAGTCAGAAGAGACTGGCATGTTGCAATCGCCTCTTGCAGGGGCTCCCCAACAGAGAGGAGAGCCCTGGCCCTTGCCGCCGGCAACTAGTGCGGCTCGAACTTCCATACATCTGCGCAAGGAACGTTTAGCTTCAAGGTACCTCTTCCACCGGTGATCCGAAGATCATGCTTCAGAATGCAGTTGAAAAAAACTCTCAAAGGTCAACGCAAGCACCCCACAAGAGATGCCGAGCGGGGACCAGCTTAGTAGCGCGACATCACCATGTCTTGGAGATTGCAAGCTTAGGGCGTTGGGGCTAAAGGCTTCGGGTGTTTGGTTGTTTGGTCTGAGGGTTCAGAGTTGTGGATTGAGGGCCGTTTCCCTTTCGACCAGAAGGCTGGGTCAAAGTGGAGGCAGCGAACACCCAGCGAAGCCAAGGCACCCAGACGAAGATATTCTTGTCCTCGGGTCCCAAGAAAGGTCTGGCTGTGGTTGAAATCTCGACCTGACTGGCTGCACTTCACTTTCAGTATGTGGGTTTCACGGTCGTGATAGTTATATAATTCCAGTATAATATATCCCCTCAAAACTTCCCAAAACTATTTTCTAATCGTTTATAGGGCCCCTACATTAGATCTGCTGATTTGAAGGGCTCACTGGCTGTCACACACACGCACAAATTCACACACGCCATGCACGCATTCATAATGCCATGCATGGAAACTGTGACAGCGTTTATCTCGGTTCTCTTTGACTTTATGTTTGCGCAGCTTCCTGAGTAACTACAAAATATGATTTCGGGGCATGCTGGACTAGACTCATTGAGAAGTCCCAGAAAGGTTTGGAGTTTGTCTTCAGCATTGATTTGACCCACATGTGGTACGAGGCTTATGACGCTTATGAGGACTACAGATTTAAGGCATCGCGAAACTAAGAAGAAGAAGCTCGAGAAGCCCTTCGGATAGGAAGTGCCTTTCACGGTGATGTCGGGGCCTTAATAATTACTTATACTATATTGGGCAACCGAGCATTGCAGTCCGACCTGACCTAAACCCCAAAAGCCCTAAACCACCCAAAAACCCCCTAAACCCTGAAATGCACCTCCTCTTCTCCGACCGTGGGAAAAGCTGCCGGCATCTTCCTTACTTCCCAAGAAGCCAGGGAAATAGAAGGTTCACCTTTCAGATTACTACGAAACCCTAGACCCTAAACCCCTAAACCCCTAAACCCCACACCCTAAACCCCTAAAGCCTAAACCCCAAACCCAAAAAGTTTGCAGGGTGGGTATTGGAGCACTACCTATACTCTCCATTGTAGTTCCTTTTTGGGGTTACCTTTTAGGATCCTTAAACCCAAAAACAGGAACCACAATGGAGACTATAGGTAAACCCTAAACCCTCAAACCCCAAAAACCCTAAACCCTAAAGCCCTAAAACCCTAAGACCCAAAAACCCTAAACCCTAAAACCCTAAAACCCTAAAAACCCTAAACCCTAAAACCCTAAACCCTAAAACCCTAATATGGTGAGCTTCCGAATCCGAGGCGGCCGGGGCGGGGCCAGCGCGGCCGCAGCGTGGGAGACGCCGAAGGCCAGTCCCAAGCAGGATCCTTCCGAGATCCTGGGAAGGTTCTATAGGGAGTTTAGGTGTGTTTTAAGATTTTTTAGGGATTTTATAGGGGTTTATAGGGCTTATAGGGGTTTACAGGGCTTATAGGGTTTATAGGGGTTTTCGGTTTCTTTTAAGGTTTTTTGAGGGTTTATAGGGCTTGTAGGGTTTATATGGGTTATAGGGGTTTATAGGGTTTCTAGGGGTTTAGGGGCCCATTTAGGGGTTTATAGGGTTTATAGGGGGTTTAGGGGTTTATAGGGTTTATAGGGTTTATAGGGTTTATAGGGGTTTAGGGGTATATAGGGTTTATAGGGGCTCAGGCTTTTGGGGTTCAGGGTTTAGGGTCCCACACCACGAAAAGGTCGGTACGTGCAAATAAAGGAACAGGTCGAAAGACACAGCGAACACACAAAACACACACACACACATGCATGCGTGCTTCCGAAAGCTAGGAGTGGAACCCCTATATAAACCCTATAAAGCCCTAAACCCCTATAAACCCTATAAGCCCCTAATCTCGATTCTGGGTTGCAGCTGAGGCTCTGGTAGGTTCCGGCGCAAGTCGTATCTCGATCCACCAGAACCCTTGTTTGCAGGGAGGTCTCGAAGGTGCCAGGAGCCGTTTCCTTGCTGAAGGAGTAGAAGGAGACGAACCACGGCTTCGCCAAATGGGCCGTGCCACTGCAGGCATTGGGAAAAGCACCAAAAGGCTTGGCGCAAACCAGTCTCACATCTGGACACTCTTCAGCGTCAATGGAGTCAACATCGTGGGCCTTGCTCCATGCACAGACCTTTTGCACCGGATAAGCCATGGCAATGTTGGAACCCTCGTCCTGTGCTTGGATGTAGTAGCCTTCCGAACATTGCTTCAGGCACGATGCTCCGGCAGCCTCCTCAGGGAATGATCGTCCCCTGCCTCCCCTACACCGAGAGAAGAGGAGCCTGCAAGGATGCATTCATGCATGTGTGCACACATACATGCATGCATGCACACATTGTATGCATGTGTGTATGTACGTATGTGTGTCTGTTCGTATGTATGTATGTATGTATGTATGTATGTATGTATGTATGTATGTGGTGTCATGTAACCTAATGCAATGTACTGTAATGTAAAATCGAACGTAACGCAATGTAGTGTAATGTAGTGTAGTGTAATGTGATGTGATGTAATGTATATAGGTAATGCATGAATACATAGACGTGTAAAAGAAGTTACGTAGACATGCATGTATGTATGTATGCAGGTATGTAGGTATGTATGCATGAGTGCATTCATGTGTATATGTGCTATGCATATGCATATGCATACGTATGCACGTGCGTGCGTGCATGCATGCATGCATGCATGCATGCATGCATGCATGCATACATACATACATGTGTACATACACGTACACACATGTGATCATATACATATACATACCCACACATCGTGTATGTAGGTGTGCTTGAGTTCACCGTCCTTTGAAGCAACCCAGGCTCTGAAGCCTTCACAGTCTGAACCTCTCCCAAGCCCCGAGTGTCCATTATCTAATCCCGAGCATCCATCCTAAGTTTGGGGTTTTGGGGCTTATAGGGTCTAGGCTTCTTGGGGTTTAGGGTTTAGGGTGTGGGGTTTGGGGCTCCGAGCCGCTACGATAGCCCGTTACCCTGGATGCCATACTCGGTGTCCTTCCCTCCAGCTTCTTGGCAACTCTCCGGCCCGGTGAGGTCCGGTCCAAGCAGCCTCGCCTCTGCAAAAAAAATGGAGGACTGATTTTCCGACTTCGGGCTTTTTTTTTGCACTGGAGTTGCTTGCATTAGCAAAACCCAGGTCCGATATCAACAGCTTGAATCAAGTCTGACCGACCTCGAAACCCAATAGGCGTTGTGGCAGAACAGATTGGCTGTTTTGTTCAGGATTGGCGGTTTTTGTGAAGCGCTGGGATTTAGCGCCGGCAGTTTGAAAGTCCATGGGCCTTGACCTGCACTCAAGAATTGATGCTCGGCTTTGAGCCCTCAGTCAAAGCTGCAAGGGGTTACGATGTCGGGCTTTGCGTTCTGGGTGCGCTTGCTTCGTGGGCTTCTGCTGTGATTCTCGGCCTCTTGCTGATGGGTTCTGGTTTGCAGCGCAGATGCATGGCAAAGGAATATGAACAGTATAGCCAGTCAGGTCCAACGGCTTTACAACCCTGTTGTAACACCTAGTGGTGCACCTCGCACTGGTCGGCTCGTCCAGTAATGCCCAAACAGATTCCCTCCTGGCGGGCTTCGCGGATTCGTGATCTTCGGGGCTGTGGGTGACAGTGTAGATGAGGGTTCACTCAGTAGTCTGACTTGGGTAAGCTTCGCAAGTTGGCATGAATGGGAGCGCGTTGCGCTACTTAGGCTGACGAGTAACCGCCGCTGTTGTCAGCAATGCCGGAAGAGTAACAACCGAAGCACAAGGAGAGTAGCAGTAGCAGCAGTAAAAGTAGTAGTAGTAGTAGTAGTAGTAGCAGCAGCAGCGACAGTAGCAGCGGCAACGGTGGTGGCGGTGTTGCTCTAGTGGTGGTAGTAGTCGTGTTAACTGGTATGTACTGTCAGCCAAAGCTGCAAATGTATCGTTGTAGCGGTGGTGGTAGTGGTTGATAGTGGTAGTGCTGGTATGGTGGTGGTAGTAGTAGCAGTCGAATGTGCGAGAGGACCACGGCTTTTGGTAAGTGGATCAAGTGATTCCACCGGCATCTATTTTATTACGAGGCGAGCTTGATGAGCCTGGCCTGCCTGTAGAAATTTGCATCTCAAATCACAGCCCCATCTCCTGGACCACGTACTCCAGGTTGCATGCAGACGCATTGTCTTGATAGATTGCCGCAAAGAGCCGCTGCTGATGGCCAGGGTCCGATGTCCTTGTGGTAAAGAAATCCTGCGCTCTTTGTGCACATGGTTTAGGGTTTAGGGGTTTAGGGTTTGGGGTTTAGGGTTTAGGGTTTAGGGGACGGAGACTTCTCGATATCTCCAGATTGTCAATACTCACAGTACAGTTCGGTACAGTGCAACAATAGTGAAGTGGAGTTTCATATAGTACAGCTTAGTATAGTACGGCATGGTCTAGTATTACTATAGTATACTTTGGTATCTTACAGAATGGTGTGGTAAAGTATAGCATTGTATAGTATAGCAACGTATAGCACAGTATCGCAATGTGTTGTACTGCACAGTGCAGCATAGCATAGTATCAAATCCCATCGCATGGCACGTCATGCCACGCCCTGCCATGCCAGGCCACGACATGGCAGAGCAAGTATAATGTAGTGCAGTAGTGCAGTATAGAAAGGATAGAATACAGTATTGTATGGTCTGCGCTTGCAAAGTCTATGCTTGTGTAGAGTAACGTGGGAAATCAATCGATATCTTGCGCGATGTGGGCTTGGAAGAAGGCGTGTGAGGTCGACTTCGGTAACTCGAGACCTGGATCAAGCTCGAAGAACAAGACCAGCCCAGAATTGCCGGGTACCGTGAGGCGGAGTGTAAGGATTCCTACAAGGGTACAAAGAGGGGTACTATAACGATAAGGACTACTACAGGAACGTACTATAACGCTTACTATGAGTTATGAAAACACAGATGTCAAGCGCGTATTCAGATTCAGCGCCAGCTTAAGCTTAGTGGCTTAAGTTACGAAAGGCCATTCCGCGAGTTATATGTCGCTTTAGTTGTGGTTTTCGCGATGAACTCTGTCTGGCTAAAACCCTAACCCTAAACCCTAAAACCCTAAACCCTAAACCCTAAAACCCTAAACCCTAAAACCCTAAACCCTAAACCCTACAACCCTAAACCGTTTAGGAACCGAGCATCGGAACCCTCGAAAACTTCCATAGCAGCCGGGAGGCAGCTCGCCAAACCATCCTCGGCCTGGTCGACAGATAGTTGTAGTGAAATTCATACTCATCGTCATAGTAATAGTAATAGCAACAGCCATCGCAGCAGCAATAGCAACAGTAAACATCAATAGTAACAATGTTTAGTAGAAATGGCAATAGTACTAAATGTCTTAAAGTGGAAATAGCAATAGTAACAAAGTCATAGTAAGGTTAACTACCTATAGTCTCCATTGTAGTTCCTTTTGGGGGTTACCGTTTAGGATCCATAATATAGTGCGTTATGCAAGATGGTCTATATCCCCCATAGAAGCCTTATAGAAGCCCTATATACCTGAAACTCCCCACCCGTAGTTTCCTTTAACTAAATCCGAATCCTAAACCAGAAGTTTCAAACCGCAGCATGACACAAATCCCTCCTCGACGGGACCAGGAAGCCCATGGCCTCCCCCGAGGCTTAGAGTTTGGAGGTTTAGGGTCTAGGGTCTAGGGGTTTAGAGTTTGGAGGTTTAGGGTCACCTTCATTCAAAAACCGAGGATATAGGGAGACTAATCCCCCGAAAAACATCGAATCTAAGCCTTTGGAACCCCCCAAAGCCACTCACAGCATGTCAAAAACCCATGAGCTTCCCAAACACGCCAACAGCCCTTGAAAATTAACTGTTGCTATGGAGAGGTCCTTTCACAGAAGATGGTACAACATACGATAATATACTATAACAGAGCCACCCTACACAGAACATAAGATGGTTCAACCAACATATGGGACTTTCCAATAGTTAGGGGTGCCTTATTTGGGGTCCTTATAATAAGGATCCTACTACTTAGGGTGCTATGTTAGGGTCCCCCTATTTGCGGAAACCCGCCATATTTTGCCTCATTCAGGGGCCCTCGGCTCGCTGCTGAAGGCTTCAAGCAAGAGCCTGCGGACCAGCCCAATCGGGTCGCTGGTGCAGAGATTCGGGATCATCGATGCAGGCTCGGTGCAGGTGAGCCTCGATTTTTTTTTTTTTTT